CCCGCATTACCAATCCCCATTGTGAGAAGAACTCTCCAAGCTCAGCCTCAGTTGAGGTGGCAATCATGATGCCCGATGCAGCTATTGACCCCACTGCCGCGTCATCCAGGTCACCACTCGGTATGGCCGACTCCAACGTGCCAGAAGACGACGAGACACTCTTCTTCATAGTAGCGTAGTTCACCTGATGCCCATATTCTATGTGAACTGTCGTAGGAGCTATCGCTTATGATCCAAATTGCGGTGAAGTCTCATACACACACGTTAAATAACCCAAATGACCACATGCGTCCTTTGAAAAAAAACAAAAAATGAGAAAACGCACACCGAGGAGCTCGCGTAGTCCAACGAAATTAAAAACGGTACTTTTATGAGCTCACTTCCCACCAAAGCATGCGAGATCATCGTAGCCCTTACAGTGTTAGAATCATCAAGAGTATGACCACCCAGGAAAATAGCCTCATATATTCCTGATTAAAGTCCAGTGAGAAAATTCCCATCCCGCTATTTCAGTCTCCTAACCCATGAGTGTCTAAGCCCATGAGTTCATAGAAAGAAACATGTGATAAACATCATGCCTCTCCTATAGTTTCCCTCGAGAAATTCTGCTAATAAAAAAAGAGGCACTAATGGGCCAACTTTTCATATGACCCAATTAGATAAGAATGTTCAGCTTGATAGCCAGATTCCCAGCAATAGAGAAGACCAATCTGCTCAGCCCCCCCGTCATCACCTGCAGAGTATGCGCACCTTGGTAATCGTGCTCGCTCACGACGGCCGCATCGGCATCAGCGGCATTGCGGAAAGTCACGAAGCCGTAGGGAGGCAGATTCATCTTGGCAGGGTCGGATGATCGGTAGAGCCACGTGTCAGCCACCGGACCGTACCGCGAGAAATATGTTAGCATCTGAATACGCGCACTGCGAAGATTTCCCAAATATGGGAGATACCTCCACCGTTTTACACGGGGACTATTCGGAAATCCCAAAAATATTTTTCATAACTGCTGGATCACTACTATACCTCATCCGCTTTTTCACATTTTTTTGAATGCGAGAAAATTCTCTTCCATTAATTTTGAGAGGGGCAAAATATTTCCGATTTTTCCCTAGACGAAGTTTTATCAGAAAAATCATCGCGGGAAAAATCATCGCCATAAGATAGTGGATGCGCGCTCGAACGGTCTTCTACACTGCGTCTGCCCGTGTCACCATTTCTCTGTGACACGAACAACTTAGACTCCACCCATCCACAGCACCCGAGTAATACTACATCGGCTTCGGTAGCGCCACGAGGCAACCCCCCGACGTATACTTTCAAGTAGTAATAGGCTGGGGAGGAATCATTGTCTCCTTGAGTAGACAAGGACCGGTTCGCGAAGCTCGGCACAGCTCTCGACGAGTCCATCGGAAGGAGTGCAGCCAATGATGGGAAACAATCCTCTGATAACTGTGACGTGCCTAACATAGTGTTATCGGACAATATAGAAGTATTGATGTTGATATCATATTCTCATCGTGACAAGTTTCTCAATCCTGTCATCGAGTGGATGAAGATATGAGGAACGCGAATGCAGCCAATGATGGGAAACAATCCTGTGATAACTGTGGCATGCCTAACATAGTGTTATCGGACAATATAGAATTATTGATGTTGATATCATATTCTCATCGTGACAAGTTTCTCAACCATATCATCGAGGGAATGGAGAATACATGAGCAACGCGAATGTTGGGTTCCCATACACGCTGCAGAGTAGTTTATAGATCTAGATTATAGTTCGAATATCCTACTCCAGGTCGCATGGGTCCGCTAGAGTGGCTCGGTCCGAACCGGCCCTAGAGGTACCGATGAGGCAAAGACACTCAGGTGCACGACCATGCCAGTAGTCAGTCTACGGCGGCAGCGCCCTCAGACTGCCGCTCTCCCTCCCTTTTTCTGTTGACTGGTTAGAGTTGATAAACGTTTCACCCATGGCTCGTATAATCTACCATGTCAAACGAGTATAATTTCAGTGTGGGAGAATGTGCACATGGTCAACTACTGTACATGTGTCGATGACAACATGGAAATTTTGAGGAAATTTGGGGAAATTATTGTTGGTTTCTGTACATTTTTAAGTCGTATATAAATTCCTATAATTAGTGAGGAAACTCCCCCGAGTTCAGCTGAGGAAAGCGAGCACTTATTCTAACACTGGCATGATTTAATTTCCACTCAAAAAGGGGACACGACTATCCGTATTGGTACATAACTTCAATTACGAGTATTTTTTGAAAACAGAATTATACACGTTTGGCATGGTAGACTATACGAGTCACAATTGAAACAGTCATCAACAGCCTTGACCAGTCAAACAAATAAACAGAGCCCACAGAGAGACGGACGAAATTACCAGTTAACTTCGATGTAAAGTAAATTATACTGACACGTTCGATTACGAGGACAAACTGTACCAATATAGTTTATCGAGCCACTTGGTTGAAGTGTGGTACGCCATAATCCTTCATGGTACGCGAGTGTCGACATAATTTTTTTCAAGTATATATCTATTAGCGATGAAGAGTTTTTCCAGAGAAGAAAAGATTGAGATTCGGAAATCATTTTCCTCGCTGTAGATTCTCCAATGATTGTTCGCCATCCCAATGAAGTCAACGACTACTTGAATGACCTTGACAAGGAACGACAGCCGATGGAAAAGGAGGTTTTTTTCACATGGGAACGGGCCTATACACGTTTGCCATGGTAGATTATATTAGCCACAAAGTGAATGCTCACCAACTACACATAGAACGAACTGTTTGTTACGAACAAACTAGCCCCGCAGATGTACCTTATCGATCGATAACGGGACATCTCAAAAAGTGTCACGCGCCACGAAATTGCTTTTGTGTCATCACCGTCACTAGCGTGGGCTTCTTATGCGCGTTGTATGCATGATTGTATTTCGTGGAGCGGGTATCACTTCGTTGTGGAGTATCTTAAGGTTGAGCGCGCAGGATACAAATTAGGTTGCAATGAATGCAATCGATCTGTACTCCAACTCAGCGTTTCTACTTGTCCCTCCAAGGTTCATCTGATGTCTTCTCCCATCAACTCCACCATAATCCAGAAGCTCGATTCGCTCGACAGTGAGTACGCAGCCATTCGCCGTCAGCAGGAGATCGAGACCCGTGCTCTGGAGAAGACTTACGAGGCCAAATACCAGCCTCTCTTCTCGGAAAGGTCTAAGGTCATCGCCGAGGGTGGCGTTCCC